TTTGTCACAAAAGTTTTTTGTCAGGTGCAATTGATATTCTTAACATTTTGATTAGCGCAATTCATCCCAAAATTTTAAAATGTAACACAATATTACCTTTATTTTAACAGATAATGAAATTTTTAATTTTTTAAATTTATTTCAATTGATCTCTTGAATTTAATTTTTATGCATCTAGTGTTTTATTTGTTTAATTTATCATTTTATTATTTTAACACAATTTAACTCTAAAATTAATGTAAAGTGTAAAGTAAGTGTATTACTTCATTTACTTGATATGTACATGTTACATGGCTATTTTACCTTAAAGGTTTGTATGAAAAAAAACAATGGTATCCTCAACTTTTATGGTAGAATGTTTTTGGGTTGGTCGTTATATTAAAGATACTTATGTTAAAGTAAATGATGAAACAAAAAAAAAACGCTCATCAATAAAATGAAGTGGAGTGGGATGCATGGAATCAGATAAATGAACGAATTTATTTAATCATTATTTCAAAATTATTATAGAATTAATAAATTTAAATTAGATATAATTATAATTTTCAGTTTAAAGATGGGAGGAAGTGAAGAGTGAGAGAGGGCAAGAAGTGTGATGATAATTTTATAATAATATTATTTATATTAAGTTATTCCATCCCCAACCCCTTAAATTGAGGTGTCAAAAAACATTTTAAGATGGTCAAAGGTAGCTTAAAAGGCTATTCCACTCCGTTTTTAAAAAAATTTACATGGTGGTTTAAAACTTTTTGTCATCTTATTCCATTTTATTCTATCTCAAAAAAACTCTCAAACATTATCTAAATACTATTTTTTAGTTTTATAGCATATCAAGTTTTGAATCTATTTTTATTTTCTAATGAGACCTCTGGTATTTTAGAGTTTTTATGACGACGGTAGAATTTCTTGCTTTTTAATTCTGTTTTAATTAGTTTTGGGATGATTTTGGTGATATTGTTTCTTTTCTTTCTTCGTGATGTTTTATATTAGGTTCATGGTTTTTTTTTTCCCTTCTGTTATTTCTCTTATTTGTATTTTGTTCATTGTATCTTATTTGTCTTTGTAAACCCTAAAAAAAAATTAAACCCTATGATTTTTAATTTCATGTTTGTGGCGGGAAAAAAAAATCTGTTTTAATGTTTCAATTCATATTTTTAATTATATTTTGTTTTTCAACCACTCATTTGTTTTCTTTCATTCATGTTGGCCAAAGAAAAACAAAGCGCCCACACATGCTTGAATCTCGGCTAGCTCATAATATTCTCCATTTTCAATGGAGCCAAACAACCCACCATTGCCGTTTCATTCAATTCAAATCTTTTAGATCACAAAAATATCATCATATATAATACTTTTTTGTTAAAAAAAAGTTACATAAATAAGAGGAGTGAATTTTGCGTATGATCATTTTTAACTTTTTATTATTATATTTTTAAACTAAAAATTAAATATTATAATCACCTTGTACATGTATAATCAAGCAGTTCAAATATGTATTTGCATATAAATGCCATTTTTTTCCACATGGGGAAGAGACTCGCGAATTGCACGATTAGTTTAATTCAAAAGAACTCATCATTACATGATAAAAAATTAATATGTAAAGTTTAACTTCACATTAATTTGGATCGTGGAACGTGAAACATTTGACTAATACAGTTTGACATTCTTTATTATATGAAATACTCATTCCGTTCCAATTTTTTTTTTCGGGGGGCCTGAATATTCTGTTCTCACTCTCGAGATTCCATAGATCGATAGAGGTTCCATAGGAACCTTTAATTATATTAAAAAAATATTATAAAAGCACATAGCATCTTTTCCCTCCCATAAAAAAGGGACTCATGGCAAGCAATAATTGGCACATCATTCAGAGACATAATTTAATATTAATTAGAAATTAGAAATGAATACAATGTACGCATGGAATATAGGGGTGGAAATCAAGGCGGGTTAAATTTTATGGACTGAGAGTTCAAGTCTTAAAGCTTAATTATTCATAATTTAACTTAATTTTAAAGCTTGATCTTTATTTTGTAAGGTTTAGAGCCAGATCTTTAAGCCCTCTTTTTTTTTTAAAAATAATAGTTTAATTTAAATAAAATATTCTAAAATTTAACATAAAATAAATTAAAGTCTAGTATAAAATTTGACAAAGATTTAAATTTTTAAATTTGAGATGAAGATTAAAATTTTTATCAATATAAATCTAAATCTTTCTCATCATCATCTAAAAATAAAATATTGAATCCGTCAAATATAGGTTCACTTGTTGAAAATTGAGGTGGAGATTTAATGTCAATTATCTATGTAATTTCTTTTTCATTACCTATAATATATATTAATCAAATTATGTCATTATTACTTAAATATATGTATGTATGTATGTATATATATATATATATATATATGATAACCTAATTTATCAGTGTTTGAAGGGCCACTTGAGCTTGAGCCTTATTAGGATTAAGTCCTCAAGTCTAACTACTTTTTTTTAAAAAAATTAATTTTTAAAATTTAAATTTTTATTTAAATATGACCTTCAGGTTCAGTCCTTTTATCTACTGTTTTATTTTCAGCTCTAGAATATTCGCTGGATTCCTTTGAATATTGCGAGTCGCTCCCATTCATGGTATCAGGCCAATAAGAATCCCATTCAGTATAAGAATATTATTTCATTATTGATTAAAAAATTGTGCGTTAGTTTTCTTAATATACATCTTTTTCTTGTTGTATAAACAAGAGAGCATATATATAATCCATCTCCAAAAGTCAATGGATGGGCCAAGTTGTGTAGAATAATGCACCACGGGACACTGAGACGAAGCAACCTCATAACTTTCTCTTTCGCCTTAAATTTTCCGAATCTGAAACTATGAGCTTCAGGAGGCGCGGCGTCCGGAAATTATGACTTGCAAGCATCTCATGAATTACAGAATTTGAATTTAATTATTGACCTAAATCTATTTATTCAATAAGTACCTTAATTATAAATAGCAAATTTTACTAACACTTGAAAAATTTAAAACAATGCTCATAATTAAAATTCTCTTCACATATGTTGTTTGAAAAATTTAAAACAATTCTCATAATTAAAACTCTCTTCACATATGTTTTTTTTTTTTAAAATATGAGATTTATTCCTTCTAGACTAAAATATAAGGCATTGGTTACTGACTCATGGTTATAAAAAAATGTTAGTTAAAATTTTAATTTTTTTAAAAAATTACATCTTTTTAATTTTATGCCCTCTCATTAAATATCATATATAAATATTTTGATAATGATAATGTAAATTTTAATGCATCATTTTTTAAAAAATAATAAATAAAGTAGGGTATAGTTAAAAAAATAATTATAAAAATTAATCAATATTTTATATTTTAGATCAAAAAAAACATCTAAAAAATATTTTATATTGTAGTTTAGAGAAAGTAATACTTTTTAAATACTATACGGTTAAAATTTTGACAACTGCTCGATTAAACCAAATAGTTGTTAATGTGTCATTTGAGACACTTATGTTGCTAAGTTCAACTCCTTCGTCCCACCCTTGTTAATCTTTCCCTGAGTTTTCTCAGTTTAATCAATAATAAGTTCTTTTATTACCGCTTCTCCTACACTATTATTAGTACTATAAGGATGTCACAATATATATAAGTGTGTGTGTGTGAACAGACTAAACTTGTCTTTTTGTTTTTGTTTTTTTTTTTTCCGGTGTGGCTTTTGATGAGATAAAGATAGGCTAAAAATAAGGAAGAAACTTTCGACGTTTAATTGATACTATCATGGCATATTGACATACGATACGACATAGAATTGCCAAAACACCAACACCATAGACTTTAATAATTCATCATTAATTTGTATTGGAAGAAAAAAATGCATTGTAATTGCCACTTGCAACAAAGCCTAATAACAAACCCCCAATGAATGCCACGAAACCAAGACACAAACAACTGGACTTCATATATTATTATTATTATTATCATTAATTCATTCCGTTCAAAGCTTTTATCAATTCAAAAATACCGCATATGTTTTTATTAAATGAATATAGTTAATCCTATATATACAGTATAGTTGTTCTTTTCTCTAAAAGCCCAAGATAATATTGCCTTCCCTACGTGGATGATAATCACATATTCTGATTAGTGTGTGTGTGTGTGTGTGTTTAAAATTTTAAGGTTTGTAAAACAAATTGTGCAAGATTTATTCTGTTATTAGGAGAGCAGCCGGTAGTAATTGACAGGTTCTTTGAAATAATTTAACGTCCGCTGAATTCCCCTTGCTACTCTTCTAGCTCCCCATTAATTCGTAGCTTGGAGATTTCTCACCAATAATATCTGTTAGCCTTTCTAAATTACCTATGTACCCTTCTCAACTCTCTATTTTCCCCCCCCCCCAATTCTTTTCCCACGCTATTAATTCTACCCGCCTAACCAATTTAATTACTTAATTAAGCATCGAACATCACAGACAACCAACATTTATTTTATTCACATGTCCTTGTCTCTACATTTCCTATTTTACGAGAGCTAACAGAACAGAAGTAAAAGGGTAAATTCGCTATTTTATGAGGCTCCATCAGAGACACAATAGCTATTGTATCGACAGATAAATATCCGAATCAATGAATGAATATGTTACTTTTCTTTGATTCTCATGTAAACATCTCCAAAGTCAATGCACGCCTCAAACTTGCCTCCTAATGATTCTATCTTTTAACAGTGTGAGCCCAACGCTTGACGCTGCTGCATGGTTCAACGCTCCTCATAAGCTTTCTCTTTCGCCTTAATTAATTTTCAAATCTCGTCTCTTCCAATTCTGAAACTACTTCACGCACAATCAGCCGTGTCGCCATGAAGCCTCCTTCCTCGTGAAAAGCCATCTTCGCGTCACTTTTCCAATTTACTTAATGTGTTTTCGACCTTTCAACGCTCACAGTCTGACATCCAGAAAAAAGACACACACTATCTGACTTTATATATATATTCCTGTACCCGCGACTAACGAGTGTCACGTTCTCCTTGCAGTAATCCAAGGGATATCGTTCAATCCTCCAGTCGAAAGAGCGAAGTATGGAGATTCCAGATTCTGCAATTGAATCTCAGGAGCGAAAATTCGCTCTTCCTGTGGATTCTGAACACAAGGCCACTGAGTTCAAATTATTCTCAGCGGCTAAACCCCACATGCGAACATTCCATCTTTCTTGGATCTCCTTCTTCGCATGCTTCGTCTCTAGCTTCGCTGCTCCTCCTCTCCTTCCTCTCATTCGCGATAATCTCAATCTCACAGCCACAGACATTGGAAATGCTGGGATTGCTTCTGTTTCTGGTGCAGTTTTCGCTCGAATCGCAATGGGCACCGTGTGTGACTTGTTTGGCCCTCGTCTTGCTTCCGCCTCTCTCATTCTCCTCACAGTGCCGGCAGTCTATTGTTCTTCCATCATCTCATCTTCTACCTCCTTCCTTCTCGTTCGCTTCTTCACAGGCTTCTCTCTATCCACCTTCGTCTCAACCCAGTTCTGGATGAGCTCTATGTTCTCTACTCGGGTCGTTGCTTCGGCCAATGGACTCGCAGCTGGATGGGGCAACCTAGGAGGAGGAGCCACACAGCTTGTTATGCCTATTGTATTTGGAATCGTACGTGATATTGGTGCTGAGAAATTCACAGCATGGCGAATAGCGTTTTTCATTCCTGCAATATTTCAGATGTTAACAGCATTTGCAGTGTTCATATTTGGCCAGGATTTGCCAGATGGGAATTTCCACACCTTGAAGAAATCTGGAGAGAAGGTAAAGGATGACTTCAACAGAGTTCTTTTCTTTGGGATTTCAAATTACAGAGGGTGGATTCTGGCATTGACATATGGATATTGCTTTGGGGTAGAGCTAACAATAGATAACATCATAGCAGAGTATTTCTATGACAGATTTAACCTGAAACTCCACACGGCAGGAATAATTGCTGCAAGTTTTGGATTAGCTAATATATTTTCTCGACCTGGCGGAGGGTATATGTCAGATTTAGTGGGGAAGCGGTTTGGAATGAGAGGAAGGCTTTGGGCCTTGTGGCTGTGTCAAACCATAGGAGGCTTGTTCTGTGTAATCCTCGGAAAGGTGGCATCTTTAACAGTGTCCATAATTGTCATGATCATATTCTCTATATTTATTCAAGCTGCCTGTGGGATGACCTTTGGGGTGGTTCCTTTTGTATCGAGAAGGTACGTTTTCTCTGTCCCTTTACTGTTTCTTCTCAATTCAAGGATTTATTTATTCCTATGCTCAAACCACTTCCCTTTTCTGCAATTTTATCTAGTATGCCATGATGAGTTTTTCCAGTAACGTAAAACTTTTTATTCAAAGCATTTTGCTGAAGATTTTGCCTTCGAACTTTCAAGGGTCGACTAAGTTTGTCCGGTTCACCTAAAAGAAAAGAAATTAATATAAGAAACTTCTGATTTAGCAAGTTTAACTTGTTAGGAAGAGGGGGCCGCTATATTAGAGGTATTAACTAAACCAAATCGGAAGATATATAATATATTAGGAAAAGTCATCCTACCTTTGTTGAAATGTTTGAATAAATAAATCTGTTTTGCTGACATGTATATATTTCATGCTTGCTTTCTCTGCACCTTATTTTTGACCATATATAGAGAAGATAATTGATTTATGGAATCAATTGGCAAGATATTTCAATACATCAAAATTCTTTGACGTCATTTCAACTGAAGTGAAAAGAGAAAGTATAAATAAAATCTCTCAAAGTGACTTCAGAGAGAGGAATAAAGAGAAGTGAGGCTGGTCTCTATAGAATTTAATGAGATAAAGGTAGATCTAGCTAACCTCTCTCTTTTAATTTCTCTCTATTCACTTCAACTAAATTGCACTTCTGAGAATCTAGATTCCTTAACTTGTAGGTCCCTCACATCTCTTCACTTCACTTGCAATGCACTTAATACAGACCAAAACACACACACACACACACACAAAACAAAGTCTCGACTAGTCTCATCATATGTATAAAACAGAGCTATATGTTACAAAGTGCTCAAGAGTTTATACTAATAATTTGCTTTCACACACATGCATATATATTTCAGATCATTGGGGGTCATCTCTGGAATGACAGGAGGTGGAGGAAACGTGGGTGCAGTTTTGACGCAGTTAATATTCTTCACAGGATCAAGATATTCAAAAGAAACAGGCATTACCTTAATGGGTGTGATGATCATATGTTGCACACTTCCATTATGTTTGATATACTTCCCCCAATGGGGTGGCATGCTTTGTGGTCCATCGTCGAAGCAATTTTCTGAAGAAGATTACTACTTGTCTGAGTGGAGTTCCAAGGAACAAGAGAAAGGGTCCCACCATGGAAGCTTGAAGTTTGCAGATAACAGCAGAAGTGAAAGAGGCAGAAGCAGTGCTCGCTCTGCTGCAACCAGGCCTTCTGATGATGTCACGCCACCACGTGTCTGAAGATTTGCAATGTGCTCTCAAGAATCAACTTATTGTGTCAATAATAATATTCTGGCTTGCTTATAGATATAGGGTTGGCTATGGTATTTTGAAGATTATGTACACTGCGTCTGTGAAATCTACTTTCTTCTGCTAGTTATGTCTACTAGTCTACCAGTATGTAAATTCCGTAGAAAATAAATTGATGTGGCTCGCTTGCAAATATTACTTTTTGGGTTGTGAGAACATCTAAGTATTAGAATGGTTATGTGATTTGACCTTGGTTTGAATCTAAATAATTTTACATGATAAATTATTGCAACAAAGCTAATCATTTGGGATGAAGCTCCCATGATCAAAAGGCATTGTATTGAAAATCTTGATCGGTCCCTTAAAGATATAATGCATAATGAAATGCCATTTGGATGTAAGTGCATTGTCATGGGTGATGACTTCCGTCAAATATTGCCTATCATTTCAAAGGGCATTAAAGCCGATATTATCAACGCATCCGTCAATGCATCACGTCTGTAACAGCATTGCAAATTGTTTAAACTCACCAAAAACATGTGTCTTTCTTTTGGAGCTAACTGTGGTGATGGCAGTGAAATCACAGAATTTTCTAATTGGTTGCTTAAGCTTGGAGATGGTATTTGGGGATGCCTCATGATGACTCTGTTGAGATTGATATTCTCCCCAGACTTAACATTACAAATTATATTGATCCCATGATGCTATTGTTTCTGCGACGTACCCAGATTTAATCTATAAATACACCAATTCGAGCTACATCACAGATAGAGCTATTTTTGCTCTAACAATTCACATTGTTGACCTTATCAATAACTACATATGTTCATTGCTGCCAGGCGATTCGATGGATTACTATACTTCAGATGCAATACCAAAGTCCCAACAAGACAGTGACTCTTTTGCAAACCTCTACGCAACATAAGTCATCAATACCATCAATAGTTCTGCTTTACCTCTTCACAAGCTCACACTTAACATAGGACTACTAGTCGTGCACTCGTGCTTATTTCGAAACATAGATCAAGTTGCCGGTTTTTACCATGGAACCTGCCTTGCGTTTACTTTCCTAGGCAAACATGTTCTCAAGACAATTACCTTAAATGGATCAAATCTAAACTAAGAGGTTCTATTGCATTCGATGGACATGAAACGAAGGCAATTCTCAATTATACTGTCTTGTATAATGATATTAATAAAAGTCAAGATCAATCACTATACAATGTTAATTACGCCAACCTGTGTTTACTCATAGATAGCTACATTTTGCAATATCTAAAGTTAAAAGTATAAATGAATTAAAAGTAATAAATCATTATTCAAGTCTTCAACCAAAGACCAGCATCACTAATATTGTCTATAGAAAAATATTTTAAAATATAGTTCCAAATATTTCTTAAGCACATTAATCTAACAATTCTTAAAAGTTCAATTTTTGCCAAGTATTAAATTCTTTATTTCTATTTTAGAAATTAAAAGCTATCCTGTGCAATGCATGGGACTTCAAATTTAGTTTTACATTATAATTCATTAGGTAACTAGCGTTAGCCTCAGTTACTTTACGGATCTAAAAGAATAATTATATCACTCATAATTCATATAGTTTTTATAAATTTTATAATGTATATACGATTAAATATTATCCAGATTAATAGAAAATATTCTATTAAAATTAAAAAAAATAAAACAATCACTCTTTGAAAGATTCAATTTATTCAATGATACTACAAACCCGTTTAAATTTTAGTTGAAAATAATTAATTATAAAAATAATTAATTAATATAATTAATTTTAATTATAATTGATTATATTATAATGCAATTTGTTTAGATAATATTTTTTTAAAATTTATTTTAATAGAATTGAAGATGTTCAAACAATTCAGTCAGAATCAATTTTAATGGTGCAAATTATCATAAAGGACATTATTTTTTAAAATTAAATTATTAATAAATTTTTATCTATTATTAAATTTATTAAATTTTATTTAAGAAGTAAAATATATTATTTAAATTATATATTTAATTAATTATAAAAATTTAAATTAAACGTGTAATAACACAAGGGTAAATACTTGCGACTTAGAGATGTTGACAAATAATTAATGCTTCAACAGTAAAATTGAATTGATAAGCAACCTCTCTCCAGCTTATTTCAAAACGTCATTTTACCTCAATAATTAATTATTTCAATTTTTGGCTGTTTGAAAATTTTTTATTGAAACCAATTATTTAGCCCAAATAATTAATTAATTATTCAATCCAAATAGGTACTCCTTCCATTTTAAATTATAAGATATTTTTAGATAAAATTTTATATACCAATAAACCTCATTAAATACACCTAACAACTTTATCTTTTCAAAATAAAAATATAAACTTTTCAAAATACCTATCATTTAATATAATGAAAAGAGAAGTGATGAAAATTATTATAAAAAGAGAAAGGATAATATTAGAATTGAAACATTTAATAAAATCTTAATCTATTTAAAATATTTTATATTTTGAGACGAAAAAACTCTTTTAAAAGGATTTTATAATTTAAAACGGAGGGAGTACTTCATTTTCAACTATTTCCAAGCAGCCACTCCCATTAAAAAAACGCCAATCACTTCTCATCTTACACCTCCATTAACTATGTGCACGTTAATCTCGTTCTTCAATTGCTTCAATATTGCGATTTCTTTTCATTTTTTAATTTCATATCACAAATGTAGCAGTTCAACCGAAGCCACAAATGTGAAAAAAAAAATGAAGTTTAGTATTTATTAAAAGATGACAAATATTTTGACCACGTGTTAAAGAAAAACAAATAATTACATTGATTGGCTAACTCGCAAATCACAATGTAATCCATGAAAATCTTGAAACCATAATGTTTAAAGTTTCACCATCAGAGTGCATAATCCTTTTGAATTCTGATGTGAGCGGATTTATTTTTTTTCACGATTTTCCGTGGCTGTGTATTTTTATATATATATATATATATGTATATATATAAAATTAAATGTAAAATATATACTGGCAAAAAATATACTCTCCCAATTTAAAAATATGAGACATTTTTTGAGGAATTGAATATTATAAAATATAACATATTTTTAGTGTTTTAAGATATAATTAACATGTTTTTTTCAAAAAATACCTTTAATAAATAAATTATTTTATATTTACTTTAAAGTGAAACACTCTATTAAATAAGAATAAAAATGAAAAAATAATGTTAGTTAAAAGGCATTTAACTACTTTATTAGAAGCAAGATTTGATTAAAAATATCTTATATTTTTAATGAAAAATTATACAAGTTTAATTTAACTAATTTATATTAACTTTTTCTACTCTAAATTCACACATGCGGTTGTTGACCAAGAAAATTATCTGTAATTTTTTAATGTGGCAAGTGGAAGTTTTCCATCTCCAATAATGCAAAAGCAATCTTCAATTCAAATATAGCAAGGCATATAAAAAAAATTACAATAAAAAACCCCAAAATTATAGTAAGGATCCAAAAAATTATAGAAATGACAAAAACTTTTGGGATCCTTTTCTATAATTTTTGAGATCATTTCTGTCATTTTTTATTAACTAACTGTTAAAATTAACTTTTGCTAACAATAGCTGTTAGGGATCAGATTATACTATTTTTAAAAGTTAAAAAAATAATTTACACAATAAATAAGTTTAGGATCGATGGTACTATTAGATCTAAAATTTAAAAATTTTTTTTGCTTATTTACCCATGGAAATATAAGAGCAATTTGTAACTTGTTACCTAAAACATATACCTAACTCCCACGTAATTAAATATTAATAATTGATACTCCCTCAGTTCTAATTACAGGTAAAGTTAAGTGAGTAATATCATGATTCTTAAAGAGTTATGGTATAGTTGATGCTTTAAACTTATAGAAAAATGTGTGACTTTCCAATTTTATTTTTGACTGAGATTAATGACAATAAATTTAGAATAAAATGTTGCATAGCAATTAAAAGTATGCCAATAGTTTATTGCAATTTTGAAAGGGTATGGTTGAAAAAACAAAGAATTATTACGACATCTTTGTCTTATATTTAGGATTAAGTAAGACTTTGAAAATTTGCTCTATACATACAACCGAAGAAGTAGTATTAAAGAAGGGTAAAGTTTAATTTAAAAAAAAATTGAAGTATCAATTACCAAACTATTTTTCTTGATTTCTATGTTTTAATTAAAATACCCTATATTTGAGACAAATGGAGTATATGAAATTGCAACTCTTTTATAACACTACATCCTGTATTTATAAATAAAAATAAGTTTAAAGAGTAAAAATATGAAACAAAATTGTCATCTATATCTTTATTCAAGATCTCTTATAATAATAAAAATGAATAAATATATATAGTAGATTTAGGAGGAGAAAGAAAAAAATAATAAAAAAATAAAAATAATATATGAATTTCACACACATACAGCTCTCTTTTTACCCAACACACACATACAGTTTTGTATCACTGTATTTGGAATACAGAGGCATATAAATATAAGAAATTTGATTTTCCATTTTTTGCATACTTTTTGTTGTTCTTCTGTTCTTATTAAATGTATACAATATATTTAGTTGAATTTAATTTTGATAGCAGAACATAACTATCCCGCTTTTATAGCATAATATATACAATCAATTTGTCATTGTAAAAAAAAAAAATTTGAACTCTTCGTATTCATGCTAGATTTTTTTTTTTTAAAAAAAGGTCAATGACAACCAATAATTCTCTTATTCCTCAAATTAATTTATACTCCCCTCTTTCAGTTTATAAAATACTCTTTTGAATGTGATTCAATATGTTAAAAGATAAAACGCATTGATAAAAATAATATTTTATTAATTATTTTTGTTTTAATATTATGCTTTTACTCTCATTATATTTTCTCTTTCCATCTAATATTTTACAAATAAAATTATATTAAATAAAAAGTATCTTTAAAAAATTTATATTTGTGTTTTTAAAAAATATTATAATATATATTTAATAAATTTTATTGATATATCCAACCTTATTAAAAAAATTATTTTATGCACTGGGCCAAGTGAGCATCGCAAATGGTTGCTACTGTATTATTCTCATCTACTCAAGAATCAGTCAACATTTTGCCAATTACATACGCATCCTTCTGATGTCTCCCGTCTTAATTTTTCTCCAGTCCAGTGCAATGCCCTTCTTCCCAGCCTGACGAACTAAGCATATCCAAAACCAACATTTATTTACTCACATTTCTATGTCCAAACATATCCTACTTTGTGTATCCCAATGTTTTTCTCATAACAACCCGCATTCATCATCTAATAAAACTTAATTCTAACCTTTCTCAGCATGCAAGCATTCCTCAAACCCTTTTATTTCTCTAATCCTATTTATAAATCACTTCCAACATGTTTCACCAATATTAAGAAAAACCTTAAAACTCATTAAATCTATTTTAAAATTTAATAAGTTATCAACTTTAATCCCTATTGTTATATAGTAGTGAATGCTGGGCTCTAACGGGACAGCAAGAGCATAAAGTTGGAGTAGCAGAGATGAGAATGTTACGATGGATGTGCGGACATACACGTAAAGATAAAATTCGAAACGAGCACATACGTGAAAAAGTGAGGGTGGCACCTATTGAGGAAAAAATGGTAGAAAATCGGTTGAGATTGTTTGGGCATGTACAAAGAAGACCAAGGGAGGCACCGGTGAGAAGAGTGGAACATATAACTTTGAGTCCGATTAAGAGAGGTAGAGGAAGGCCTAAGAGAACACTCTTGGAAGTTGTTGAACGTGATCTCTTAATTAATAATATTTCTAAAAGCTTAATAAATGATAGAACACAATGGCGTCTTGCAATCCATGTAGCCGACCCCACCTAGTGGGATAAAGGCTTGTTGTTGTTGTTGTTGTATCAACTTTAATCCCTATTAAATATACATATTTCAATAATATATATTTTTTTCCAACATTTAATGGAGGTTAAAAGAGAAATTTTGTTATAAAAATTTAATAATGTGGCTCATAAATAGGATCAAAAATTTTTTTTTTCTCTCTGCCCTATAAAAAGGACCAGAGGGAGTACAATATTTCTGAATTTCGCAGCAAAGCCTAGCAAGTCCACAGCAAGCACGTAGGACAATATGCTACTAGATATAACAAAAATACTCTTCAAATATTTGATTTTTTTTTTTTTAAATAGGAAAACATCTAGTCAGGTAATATGTACTTCTGTGAATCCTCAGTTTAAACAGACACCCACACACAAAAAACATAAGATATGACCAGACCAGGGTTCCAGAGAGAGAGACATTTGTAACTCACAAACTTGGCCAAGTGACGAATAAGGAAGGAGGGAAGGTTAGGTGCTTGTCTTGTCCCCCACCATTCAATCATCGAATTGGACTGCAAAAACTTGTATTATTGCCTCTGATATAATTTGGCCTCGTGACTTTGATCAATACCTGATAACACTTTCCAAATGGTCTAATGACTTAACTAGCCATGTTCCTATTAAAATATTGACATGATACAATTGCTCCAAGTGGAGTTGGTTGAAGCATTCTTGTTACTCCCTCTGTTCTCATATACAAGGCACTCTTTTGAAGGTTTAGGCAGCATTAAATAGTTTTTCCCCCGAAATTAAGATAGTAGAAAAAGAGATGCTCCTTTTGTTAAAAAATACTATAGGATATCTTTAGTTTTTAATGTGTAACTAATGAATTTCTTTTTTAAAAAATACTCTTAATAAATAAATCACTTAATTTTTTACCTTTAAGTAATACACCTTATTGAATAAAGATAAACTTAAAAAGATAGTATCAATTTAAAGTCAATTAACTAAATTATTAGGGGATGTAATTTAATTAAAAATGTTTTATATTTTTAAAAGGCAAGAGTATAATTAAGATGAGGTTACAATTCAATGAGGATGGTTTTGGGAAGTACTGATAATTTTTGGACAGTTCATAAATTTCAACTAATTTTAAGTATGCATAAAGCGATTAAAATTGACTTACATATAGAGATGGAGGAAGTAAATGAAAAATCATTTCCAAGAAAGAAGCAGATTCCGTCGACTTGACAAGCAATTCCCATTCATGAGTGATGAGCTTAAATTCTTCCAGCCAAATATTGGAGTAAGGGAATCTCATTCTCATTCCTATCTCTACGTTGCAGGATGCTGCAAACCAAATTTTTTAGTGCACAGGTTCCCACAATAGTTAGCGCAAGATGATGCAAACAGGGGCATGAGGTCTTTGAAAACAGCTCGGACGAGTTCCTATAACAATTTTTAGAACTCCTCTGCCTCAATGTATCAAACGTTTTTTCATAAAATTACGAATACTTATGACGTCAATTAAATGCAATTTAAAATATTAAATTCATTAAAATGAGGAAGAGAAAATGAAAGATATTTAATGAGAGAAATAATGAGAAATAATTTTAGAATAAATCACCGAATTCCTCAAAAGTTTTTTTTCCGGGTTTGACTAATTTTAGAATAAATCACCGAATTCCTCAAAAGTTTTTTTTTTTCCGGGGGGGGGGGGGGGTTGACTATGTTACATAGAGTAGTGTTGCTTTGCCTACCATAGATATTGAGAGCTTCCATGAATGCTAGTGCTCCACTGACCACCATATCAGGAAGTGCAAGGGTAAGTTGGTCGTTCCGAGAGTTGAGAAAAGCTACACAGACAGAAATCCCCAACAAAGTCAACAAACGCGAGTGCTTTCTGTTTTTTTCCTCTCAGTTTCATTATCTCGCTCAGTTCTCCATATTCAAAACTACTTGTCTCTAACAGTCTCTTCCAGCAGCAAGAAACGCATGACGCTGGATACTTCAAGCAAAGCTATAGGCAAGCCAAGGACTGTTCTGTTGCCTATAAGTTTCAAGCTGGTTCACTCTTCCGAATCTTAAACTAAGAGAAGACAATGAGACTCGGAATCACGAAGGAAGTTATGAGCACCAAACCACGCCTTTCTTACCCATGAAAGTCATCTTTCCTGGTTACAACTCTCGAAGTCTCAGTTTTTAACCATAATTTGTTTACCTGTTCATAGACTAACAACCAGAAAAGGGAAGCACTACTGTCTTCGTATCTGCAGGAAATTATTAAATATCACATGTTCATCATACTTCCAATAGATATCTTTCTTCTTTAGTTCAATCCTCCACTTGCAGGGCCAAGTATGGATGTCTCAGGTTCTACAATCGAATCTCTGCAATCAGAGTTTGCCCTTCCTGTGGATTCTGATCACAAGGCCACAGAATTCAGATTATTCACAGTGGCTAAGCCCCACATGCGTGCATTCCATCTATCTTGGATTTCCTTCTTCTCATGCTTTCTCTCCAGTTTTGCTGCGCCTCCTCTCCTTCCAATCATCCGTGATAACCTCAACCTTACAGCCACAGACATTGGAAATGCTGGGATTGCGTCTGTTTCAGGAGCTGTTTTGCTCGAATTGCAATGGGGACTGCCTGTGACTTAGTTGGCCCCGTCTTGCCTCTGCTTCTATCATTCTCCTCACAGTACCAGCTGTCTTCTTCACTTCCACAATCTCATCAGCTACCTCCTTCCTTCTTGTGCGATTCTTGACAGGTTTCTCCTTAGCCACCTTTGTCTCAGCCCAGTTCTGGATGAGCTCCATGTTTTCTTCTCCCGTAGTTGGTTTTGCAAATGGAGTAGCAGCTGGATGGGGAAACCTTGGAGGAGGAGCCACACAACTCCTTATGCCCCTTGTCTTTGCACTAATCCATAGTATAGGTGCTGTCAACTTCACAGCCTGGCGAATTTCATTCTTCATTCCTGCAATGTTTCAAATGTTGACAGCATTTGCCATATTAATATTTGGCCAGGATTTGCCAGATGGGAACTTCCATGGCCTGAAGAAATCAGGGGAAAGGCCAAAAGATGACTTCCCACAGGTGCTGTTTTATGGGATTACAAACTACAGAGGGTGGATTCTAGCATTTACTTATGGATATTGCTTTGGAGTAGAGCTAACAATGGATAATATCATAGCTGAATACTTCTATGACAGATTTGATCTGAAACTCCATACAGCAGGAATAATCGCTGCAAGCTTCGGATTAGCCAATGTGGTTTCACGACCAACAGGGGGCTATATATCAGATGCAATGGCAAAGAGGTTTGGAATGAGAGGTAGGTTATGGGCCTTATGGCTGTGTCAAACCTTAGGAGGTGTATTCTGTATAATCCTTGGCAAAGTCGGATCTCTTAGTCTATCCATCATTATCATGATCATATTCTCTATCTTTGTTCAAGCTGCTTGTGGGCTGACATTTGGGGTGGTTCCGTTTGTCTCAAGAAGGTATGTTTTCATTCCCTCCCCCCCCCCCAACTTCTTATCAGTTTAAACATTTAGTCCCAAATATTTTTTTTTAAAAAAAATTCCCTCTTCAATATTACCAGGTGTGGCATTAGTGTTTTTTTTCCCCCAGTAAAGTCCAATTTCCAGCTATTTATTGAAAGCATTCTGCAGAGCATTCCACATTTCCAAGACCTAAAGAAAGATGCCATGAAATTCACTAAAATTTAATTTTGTAGGAAATAGGAACCATCAGATCAGACACAATAGTCAACAACAATGGAATATATATATATATATATATGTAATACACTAGGCAAAGTCATCCTACCTTCGTTGAAAGGTTAACAGTTTGAAGTAAAAAAAAAAAAAAAAGGTTTTCTGACCTCATGCTTTATGCATTTTCTTTTTTTTTTTTTTAACAACGATAAAGGTAATCAATTAATGGCTTTAAAACTGGTGGTGACTGATTTCCAGAGTGGAGAAAAATAATAATCCCTAAGCCTGAAAAGATATCCTACAGCCTTTCTCAGCCAACAAGAATGAAAAATTACATACACATGCACCAGTCAAAAGATGCACACACAAATACAGAGGCCGATCAACTTTCTTCATATGAACGGAGTTATATTAACAAAGTGTATAGGCCTTTTTATGGTTGTTTCTAATAACTTGGATCTATATTTCAGATCACTGGGGGTAATATCTGGAATGACGGGAGGTGGAGGAAATGTGGGTGCTGTTTTGACACAGCTAATTTTCTTCAAAGGATCCAAATATTCAAAAGAAAGAGGTATAACCCTAATGGGTGTGATGATGATAATTTGCACCCTCCCACTATGTTTGATCTACTTCCCACAATGGGGTGGCATGTTTTGCGTTCCATCATCTAAAAAGGTTGCAGAAGAAGATTACTACTTGTCTGAGTGGAACTCAACGGAGCAGCAGAAAGGCTCTCATCTTGCAAGCATGAAATTTGCAAACATAAGCAGAAGTGAAAGAGGCAAAAGAGTTCATTCTTCAACCAGATCTTCCGTTGAAGCCACAACACATAATCCTTGATTGTTCCTCAGGGGCCACAAAACACACTAGCATGAAGAAAGCCTTCATTGAAGAATTAAGGTGTCTCAATATTCTAGTTTGCTTATTAATATAGGGATGACTGTAATATTTCAAAGATCATGTCAGTTCACAATCATTTATATCCTCTTAGCACATGAGAATTTTACTTTCCAAGCACTTGAAAACTTATTTATATAATATTTGAGCATAACATATATGGAAAAGTCAAGATTAATTTGATATGCATAACTGCATATTAATATTTTTCCACATATCAATATGGTCAAAAATCTTCATAAATAGTCTTCGACGTACTCAGGAAAAATTTCATGCCAAATCCCAGGGTTATTGAGATTAGGAAGAATACAGTTTTAACCAAAATGACTTGAAACAATACAATGTTAACCAAAATGCCTATTAGTGTGCTTATAGAATCTTCAAACTTCGTTCAACTTCAACAAAATAAGCAACACAACCTTGAAAGATAAAACCAGAGAAAGTACTCAGTCATAATAACCAGCAAAGAAGCCACGTGTGAAGGAGGAATCCCCTTAAATCGACAAAATAATTTGTGTCTACTAAATCCAAACAAATTAGCACAAGATATAAATAGAACCACATTGCTCGGTACGATTAAGTTAAAACAAGCGAAAATAGGCCGAGGAAAAATGAAAGGGAAAAAAAAATAGAAAACAACAAATTTTCAATATAAACAAAACCATGTTATTCTGAAATTACTTGCACCTAAAGCAGTATTACGTGAACACAAAGTCAGAGAAAGCACTTAACGTGCTTATAAGTAAGCGAAACAAGCAATGGCTTTGAACCGAGATGTAATTATTATAATCACCGACGTACCTCCTCGGCTCCTCCGCCCATTGGAGCCGAGCTTCATCAAGCGAGCCACAACCACAAGCATTAGAACCTTGGGAACGACGTCCGTTCTGTAACTGACGTCGTATACAGATCTTGTCGTATTGGGCCTGATGAGGATAATATTGAGAAACTCCATGGGCTTATTGGACCTTGCAATGTTCTAATAATGGGCTCAGTTACTCCCACAAAATTTCTCAATTACTCGTGAGATTAGCCTAAACGAGGTTTCAGTTTGTTTAAAAACTCAAATATTTATTAACAGTCATATGTTATGAACTTTCATTCTAGTAATAATAATTAGTTATTATTTCAAGTAACTAATGATTCAAAATGGACTATTTGATTGGGAAGAGTATTATTAAAGCCAAGTGAAAAAAAACTTCTTCAGACTAATTTGAAATCATACCATCCCTTCCTCGCAGTAATTAATTTACAACAATGTAAATTTGCTTACGCACGACCCAATACGCGTCTTATGTTAACAAAATATGTAAAAATAATTAATTTATAGAGCCTCATTTACATTAAGTGGTTGGAACGAGATTATATTCATTGATATTTAATACAAGACCCTTTATGAAATTTAATAAAACATTTGTACTCATTTTAAAAAATACTTTGGTCTCTCTGTTTTTCTTTTCCCCATTCCCTTCTATCTCACAATCACAATGGACTATACCAATTAGGGGGCAATATTGAAAAGTTATAACCAAAAAAACAAGTTGAGATTTAACCAATTCTAGCTAATTTCTCTAATCTCATGGAAGTATTTAATAGAGCTAGAGCCTTATAGAAGGAAGTATTTACTTTTTTTAGTTTTCAATAACAACATTACTTTTATTTTATTTATGTTTTTAATTGAAAATTTTAAATGCTTTTTTTTAATTAAAATGTTTGTTTACCGTCCTAAAAGCACTAGTTTGCGAGAATCTCACCGAAAAAAAAAAGAGGAGGAGGAGATTACAAGCAACAGACGCGTGTTTTGATTTGGTGGGGAATAATCCAAAGAGCATGACAATCAAAATAAAAGGAAAATCACATGTGAACGTGTTGTGTTGAAGAATGGTCAAGCGGTGATTCAGAAAGTGATATAAACATAGAAAATGCCATGCAAAATGCTCTCTTAAATCTCAATGATTTTTCTTTCTTCAACTTGAATAGCCTTATAAAATATAATGTGTGTTTGGGTTAAACAAATCTGTAACCGAGGTTGAGAATCAATTGAGGTTAAAAAAATATATATAACTATAATATAATTTATCTTTGAATATTTTTTTTAAATTTAGTTAAGCATACTAAAATTATTTAGATAATTTGATTCAAAAGTCTGTTAAGATGTATAATGACAAAAATAAATATAAATTTTTTTATATATTTTTGTTACTAATTTGATATTTAAAAAATATTAAACTTAAAATTACTACATTTAAAAAAATAGATTATAAATATAAAATACAATGATAAATCAAAAATCTTGATTTTTAAAAAATTAGAATTAAATGATAAAATTTAAAATATTCAATTAACAGAATCTATTATTATAATAAAAAGATGTGAATTTTTTGATAAATATTTTTGTGACTACTATTTGATATTTTTAAACAAAATATTAAATTAAAATTTTATTTTTAAATGGTAGAATTGAACAATTTAAAATAATTTGATAAATTAAAAAACTTAAATTTAAAAATGTGTTGCCCGGATTTTAATAAATAAATTAAATTGCTACTAACTTATAAAAATTATGATTTTTTTGATTATTTTTATTATGCATTATATAAATGTATTGATTTTACTGATATTAATGTATTAATTTATTAGTGTTTTTCTTTATGAATATTTTATGATGAGAGACGATGGATGAGAGACCAAGGAAGCTTCGCATCCGTCACGAGCCAAATTGGAGAGGGTGAGAATAAAGGGAGAGAAAAACCTCATACAATTTTAAAATATCAAATGCAAACTTCACTTCACTTTTTTCAATGACCGTTACTTTATAAGTTTCTTTTCCCAACTTCAGTTTTAACACAAGTTCTTCTTAAAAGCACTTTTCAAAAAATTTTATGTCCAAACAAAATTAGAAAGGCCTCAAATGAACTTTTTT